AAAAAAAAAAAAAAAGCAAAAAATATTTTTAATGGGCTGGGCACAGTGGCTCACGCCTGTAATCCTAGCACTCTGGGAGGCCGAGGTGGGTGGGTCATGAGGTCAGGTGTTTGAGAACAACCTGGCCAAAATAATGAAACCCCGTCTCTACTAAAAATACAAAAAATTAGCTGGGTGTGGTGACGGGCGCCTGTAATCCCAGCTACTTGGGAGGCAGAGGCAGGAAAATTGCTTGAAACCGGAAGGCAGAGGTTGCAGTGAGCCAAGATTGCACCACTGCATTTCAGCTTGGGCAAAAGAGCAAAACTCCATTAAAAAAAAAAAAAATTAATGTCATCTGCCATCAAACTATTCTTGGTAGTTTTCACAGTCAAAAGGTAACACAGGACAGTAACTTTTTTGGGGGATTGGGGGAGACGGAGTTTTGCTCTTGTCCAGGCTGGAGTGTAATGGTGCCATCTTGGCTCACTGCAACCTCCGCCTCCTGGTTTCAAGTGATTCTCCTGCCTCAGCCTCCTGAGTAGCTGGGATTATAGGCATGTGCCACCACACCCAGCTTATTTTTGTATTTTTACTAGAGAAGGGGTTTCACCCTCTTGGCCAGGCTGGTCTCGAACTTCTGATCTCAGGTGATCCGCTTTGGCCTCCCAACGTGCTGGGATTAGAGTTGTGAGCCACCGCACTCGGCCTAAGGACAGGTAGGTAACTTTTATCAGCCATGAACTATGAAACATAAAAACAGAAACCAAGTGGCCCTAGCCTGCTAATACCTTCTCCCTCAAGTGAGCCAACATGATAGATGAAAAAGTGAAAACAGAGTTACAGCAATGTCTAATTCCAGAAAATCCACGAACATAGGTGTGGAATCAAACCCTTGGCTAATAATGGTTTGAAAGCAAGATCTGGTTGCAAATTCAACAGTGCTATATAATCATCTTGCAATTTCACATACAACCTGTAGGAGCTTGTCAGGTTATCAGGAGGTTGAGAGGAACAACGCCAGCATGCCAGCTTGCAGTTTTCCCTCTGCAGTTAGCTCATTTCTGAATGCTGACTATTATGCCCTTTGCAAAAATGATCTCCCAACATTTTCTCATCTTTATAATGCTCACTTCAAAATGCAATGCCAGAAGTTCAGGGTGATTTTCTATCTAGAGTGAGCCCAAATCCTAAAAAAAAAAAAAAAAAATTAATAGTATA